AATACAAGGTCAAAGGTTCTTCATGTGAGTGAACCGCTTTAAAGACTTAGTGACCATGGCATATTTGAACTGGTATTGACCGGGGTATCTTAGTAGGTGTAGGTAAGTGAGTGGATACGAGAACAGAGTAATTAAATAAAGAACCTACAAGCAGGTTCCAGGTATGGCAACTAGTGTAAAACCTTTGGGCGGACTACTTAAATTAGACAATGACTAAAGTTATATAAGTGGCTAGTTGTACACTCTTTTCATGGTTGCCTCCTGTGGTTGTAATGCAATCATTAGCTGAATGTACTATCAATAAAATCCTAGGTCACAAGTACTTATCTTAATATTTAAAAAAAAAAAAATTAATAAACAAACTAATATAAAAACTATATTGTATTAACTTTTTTAACTAAAAAAAGCATATTTTAATTTTGCTTATATATTAAAACAATATTAGATATACTAATACATAATTCTAACAACCTAAAAATTTAAACAATATTGTTAAACCTATTTTATATAATATTGCAAACTAATCTTATCTATAATCTATGTTTACCAATTAGTTAAACAATTCTAAAACTTAATATCTAATTAATTCTAAATTAAATATAATATTTCTCTAAACAATATTCTAATATTACAAATTCAAATAAATCTTAACTATTATAATCAATTTAAATTACAAATAAACTAATTTAAATACTTATTTTTACATATAATTTTATTTTGCTATACACAATCTTAGTTTATTTTAGCATTTTTAACTAAAATGTATAGTTTAAATATTAATAAAGATATAAAAAAAATCTTACCTTAATATTAAAAATATTTTTTTTGCATAATATAAATTTATATATTAAAATTTGAATATTAAGCTGATGGTATAAAAAATAGGCAAAAAAAGTGTCAAAATATTAATGTAAAAGTTATCAAGTAAATGGTGAATATTCTAATTTTCAATAAAAATAAATAATTGTAAATCTTTAATTCACTTGTAACTTATAATATTTTTCTAAATAATCAACAATTGCTGGTATGCTAGTCAATGTGTTAAATGTTTTTCGTTCAGCATTGCTCATAAAGTCTTCAAACATATACATCCTTTTTTTTTTAAAAAAAAAAGTAATTAATAGTAATTAAAGCTAGAGTAATTTATAGTAATTGACTTGAAATAAACTTACAAATGATGATGGAAAATATAATGTGTAGTTCCCAATCTTAGACTTAATTTAATAAATTTATCCATGCATTCCCAAGGTGTACTTTCACACCCTGTAAATAATGCAGGATTTTTAAGTATACCCCGAGCTGCCATCACACCATCAACTTTAGTATTCTCGTATAATAAATTTGCATCTTTCAAGGAGAAGATGCTACCATTTGCTATTACAGGAATTTGTAAAGATTCTTTACAAAATTTTATAGTTTCTAGATCAATGGGTGTAGTAGATTTCTGGCGACGCGTACGACCGTGGATTGATATAAAATCTATACCTACAGCTTCAGCATTCTTTATAAAATCTAAAGTTTTTCTTTTCAAAATTCAGGAAGAGGATATAAATTTAAAAATGGTTGATAAAATATTAAATACACTTTTATTTAACTAAAATTGTCTTGCCTCATATCATTATGAATTCTGATCTTAATAGAACATGGTAAATTTACACCACTACCTTTAACCATTCGAATCATGTCCTTTACTAGCTCAGGTCGATCCATCAAATGAGCACCTATACCTTCATTTAAGGCCCATTTTTGTGGACACCCACAATTCAAATCTACATGACAAATACAACGTAATTTTTGGAATTTAAATTTAGAAATGAAAATGAACAAAACTTACCAATTCCATCGACATATCCGACCACAAGCTCTGCAGCTTTAGTAAGTTCTACTGGATTATTACTTGCGAATTGTATAATTAGTGGATTATCAGTAGGAGAAGTGCTAAAATCAAAATCACGAGCAAAACTCGAGTTCTTAAATTCTTTTGCTAAAATCATTGGAGTATAGGCTAAATCTACATTATAACTTTAAAAAAATTTTTTTTTTACGAAATTGCTATATGAAATAGTTTATAATATGAAATTTCCATGAGACAACTTACCCACGAACCAATTCACGAAACGGTAGCTTACTATATCTAACCATTGGTGCGCATACATTTATATAAGATTTTGTGGGATCATTGAATAACTCTAACGGAGATTTTCTACAGGACTCGGAATGTGAAGACATAATTATCAACAATAAGTGCATGATTAATTGGTTAATCGCATGAATTAATTCGGTATTGCAATCAAGTGATGACAACCAATCAAAACTGTTTACAATTTTGATTGTCAAAAAACCATTTTCTCCATTTAATTTACACCAAGAGCAAAATACTTTGACATCCATGTCTACACAATATACCCTGTCTCGAGCAGAATTTCTTCATGGCTTGGCGAATCGGCTCATATATTCTAGGTTTTATACCTGGTTATACTTGGGAATGGCTTTATTAAGCGTTGGTTCTATCATTCTGGTATATTTTTGTTTAAACGACTCAATTTAATTTCATTTCCTCAATGGTCGATTAATCTCTTTTTATTAAACAGTCATTTACGGAAGAATGGTAACATAATTGAATGTTCCTTTAAAATTTATCTATTTCAAATATTTCAAAATTTTAACAAGTTTTAATTCTTAAAGTCAATCAACCGGATTCATTATTCTTGAAATAATAATTAATACAGTTATGATAGCAGAAGTAGTTACCCGTATTGTAGCATTAGGAAAGGTCAGTAATCTTTTTTTTCAATTATTGTTTGATAAGGGATTTTTTAAAATTTTAACCTTATTTCGTTATCGTCTAGTTATATTGGAATTCTATCTACAATATAATCGACATCGTTCTTGTTTTACTATGTGTAATAACATTAATCTTAGTTGTGAAAGGTGATTGTTCGAATAAGGGAGAAGAAGTAATTGATTTGATTTTAATAATTGTAAGAAATTTTATGCAATTTGGAAGGTTAATTATGATGTTAAAAAAGTATGTACCTTCTATCAATATACTTTTTATGATCGAAATTTCGAATTTAATATTAATTGATTCATAAAAAAAATTTTTATAGGAATGAAACTAATAGAAAGACTAGAAATGCAACAATAGATTTTAGTAATGTTAGAGAATCAAATGTTTCAATGGATTTCGATTCAGTATCTAATAGTGCATTCTTAATAACTGATGATGATGATGATATATGATTCTGACAAATCTACCAGTTATTGGTATATAGATAATTTGTATTTTTTATTTTTCTGTTCTAATAGTATTGCATAGATAGTTGCCTCTTTCACGTATCATATTAAATTAATAATAGATATATATATATCTGTAATAAATTACGACGAAATATTCTGGGATTTATTTTTTAGGTCATACAAGCTTAATATATCGGTTCTCATAACCCGGTCGGGTTAAATTTTACAAAACTTTACTGCTATTATCATAATTCCTGAAACACCTGATAAAAATTACCCGAATGATTATTTGCCGATTCGATCAAGTTTGTAATTTCGGCATAAAAGATCCAATGAAACTACAAAATTGTACGTATGCACGTACGTAACTTTCACGTTAACTAGAGCAGTAGCGCACGATCATTACACCTGCTTTACAAGGTTTTGGAAGCATTACTATATTTCATGTGCCAGCTCCATGAAAGTTTTGGCCAACGTTATTCGCATATCAAAAATTACATGTCAGAAACTTGTAAAAATTACGTAAATTACAATAATTTCCACCTTATATATACTGTATACAAAGGGCATATGTTACATGTTCCATTGATAATTTTATCATTATAAATGTCAACACGCTCAATATTATTAAATTTCGTTTGAACACTTACTCAACATGTTTAGTATGTTAGTTTGCGCAAAAACGTATATATCAGATTACAATGTAATCTATATGTAACGTGAATAATAATTTATGTAATTATATATCAATCATGCCGAAGTCACCAACTCAATCGAGTCGGCCGAAAAATCATTCGGTTAATTTTGTGTGGTGTTCCAGGAATTATGATGATAATAGCAGTAAAAAAAATTTTAAGCATATTTACTATCCGGGTGGGTTTTTATAAAAAAATCCAATGTTTTTTTACATAAATTTTTTTGAAAATAAAATTAAAAGCTGTATTGCTAGATCATTTTTAAAAATTTTGTTATGAGAACCGATTTATTAAGTTTGTGTGGCCTTACATTAAATGGTTATTGTGATCAAAAAATAATAAAGTGTTAACAACTAGATCCAACCCATCCAATTCCATAATGAATTTTTCAATTTCATATATTCTAAATTTCTTCCAATAATTACGATTTTATCTTTTACCATTGCATTTTTACAGACACTTTCAGACTCATCCAAATCGCTCATATCATTAGGAATGTATTGTAAATCGTACAACTCTTGAACCCCTTGCACGACAACACGCGATTTTATATCATGGTTCGGTGTCAGAATACTCTTAAGCCTTAGAATTGTTATTTGAGGATTAGTTTGACATGGTGTAGTGTCATACGTTGGAACAATTTTCTCCCATAATAAACATTGAATCCATTGTTCTATTTTTGTCAAATCAAGGGTAGGTGACGGAAATTCAGTTAAACATATGGTTTTAACCTCCTTTAAATAAATATGAATATGAACATCTTAAAAAAAAAGAACAATTTTGAACTAAAGGCAAATAATGGATGAACTTATTACCTCTTCAATATGATCGTGGTTATGGCCATGTCCATTTTCTGTATCATCCTCATCTAAAGTTTGTGATGATGCCAATAGTGAAAAAGGTGACTGTTTAAAGTCGAATGCATGAATGTCCAAAATGAAGTCTAATGGAACTCTTGTTTAATGAAAGTTCGAACACGTTTATAACATAAATCACGCATATTTATAACATGTTAGATGAATAAAATATATTGATCAAAAATGTATAAAAATAGAATAATTCAAAAATACCTTGATCTTTCTGTGTTAATAATATCTGCAATTGAATTTACAGTCCTTTATAATTGAAATATGAAAAATAAATTCGGTTATTTCGCACTTAATTTAATAATAATAATATTCATGTAAGTAAAATCACCTGATCTGACTTTGTATAGAATCTATAACTGAGGGTAAAACTAGATCCATTTTGTTGATAATTATTCTATCGGATATTGCTATTTGACTAATTTCTAACAATGTTATTTGAAAGGTTATAATGGTATGAAATGTCAAAAGTTTAATGCATACCGAACAGCTTCATTTATCGAACCATCTGCTTTCTTCTCCGAAATATACTTTAAATAGATGATAAAACAACTAATATTAAAGGATAAAAAGTACGAGTATATTACTTAAAGCCAACATGTAAGAGTGATACGATACTTGTAGGATATATTTTGCGTCAACTAATGTAACGATGCCATCCAAATATATGTCGCTTCCTAAATCATCGTCCAACCAGAACATTGAAGCAATTGGACCTTTTACATGAGAAAACGCGACGATATTAAATAATAGGATATAAAAGGAAAATATTATGACGCGATTACTGAAATACCTGGATCAGCAAGACCTGTAGTTTCCAGCAAAATATAATCAAATTTTCCTTTTTTCTGCATAAGATTTTCAATTGCTTTTACACCATTATCTCTAATAAATTTAAGCAATGAAGTCTGGAATCAAGACGTAGACAAATGAATGATCATAATAATATACATACTTGATAGAACAGCATAAGCATCCATTTTGTAATTCTAACCACTCCTCAAATGAATCACCGTCTTGATTAATTGATAAGGATTTTTCAATTCCGCTACCTAAGAAATATAAATAATTGTGAGCTTTAGAATCGAATAACAATTATGAAAAAATTATGAAAGAAAATCATACTTTCGCCAAATTCGTTCAAAATAACGGCGATTCTTTTTCCATGTTGATTTGATAAAATATAATTAAGTAATGTAGTTTTCCCTGAGCCGAGGAAGCCTATGGAAGCGAGTATCCAGCATGTTAGGAATCAATATGATTGCAAAGAGTTGAATTTAAAAACGATTTACCAGTGATTATTGTTATAGGAACCTTTGAATTAAGGGCTTTATCAATATCATTTACTTTTGATTCAGAAGAATCACTATAAAATAAAGAATTTATCAACTTCACGAAAACCTTTCAAAGTGAGAGGATATCATTTTACATTATTTCAACAATTTCGACCAATTCAGGTATTTCGTCCATTTTTAGCGTTAGATTTATGAAAAAGAGCTGGAGATGGACGTGGATCGTGGGAATCTATATAAAATTCTTATTGGAAGATAAAATCTTTGATAAATTTGAAAGGTTGATCACGAAAAATTAGTTAATTATGCCTTATCCTATAAGTGTTTCAGCAATTGATACGACGTTGCTTACGCGGAATGAAGCACGCAAACTTCGGAGACTTGAATTAAAAAAGTATCAAGCTTACGAAATTATTGCAAAATTTGAAGGAACATCACTTGAACAATTGTTTTCACCAGAACCTACGCGATATTTATGCTTAACCAATCTTTGTTTCGGTGGAGTCGGAGGTATTACAACAGAACAAGTGTCAGAAATATTTAACACCTTTGATGGTTTAGCAGGAATACGTTTGACCCATGGAAAGGTAATCCCTTTTTTTTTTTTATTGAATTTTTGCTTTCTTTCGGCGTATTTCTAAATACTAAGAGATCCATGCTTTTAACTCAGCCGTATTCGTTTGCATTATTTAATTCCACAGCTTCTGCTTTACATGCTAGGGAGACTCTTCACAATAAACCATGCGAATTTCTAAATGGTAAAGTTCTCTTTATTGAATTTGTGAATTTGAAGTGTCAAAGTTTCATGAAACAAATCAAAGACTCGAATGAAGTAACTATCTCCGGACTGATTTTATTGGAGGAGTTCATATCAGTTGAATTAGAAAAAAGTATATTACAAGATATATATTCAAACACCGCATGGATCTCTGTTCAAGACCGTAGTGTAGTGCGTACATTAATGATATATTCGCTATATTTACATGATTTTTTTTTTAACTTAACCTATTTTTGACAACTCAAATTTTATTAGATACATTTTGGTTACTCATTTAATTATGATTCGAATGAAGTTGGTTTGCCATCACTTCAATTTCCACCTTATGTGAATTTACTTCTTGAAAAGATAAGGAAGTTATACCCCTTTATATCAAATATGGAACAATTGACAGTGCAACATTATCCAATTGGTACTGGGATTCCACCTCATGTAGATAGTCATTCTTCGTTTGGACCAATTGTTTTGGCATTTAGTCTTGAAAGTCCAGTGATTATGGAATTTAAAAACCTTCAAACCGGAGTCATTGTAAATATAGATTTACCAGAAAGATCTTTAATGATTCTTAAAGACGAGGCACGATATACTTGGAGTCATGCTATAAGGTTAGAAAATTTCATGATTCTTGAAATTATCATCATTTTAAAAAAATTGACTATATATATTATATAGGGCAAGAAAAAGTGATTTATTAGAGGATGGACGAGTCAGAGAACGAAATAAAAGAGTTTCTTTAACTCTTAGAACAATCAACCCTGAAAGAATTTGCTATTGTAAATGGCCTAATTTATGTGATCGCAACATAGCTCATTTGAAAAAAGATTCATGAACATTTTACTCAACAAAATAACTAGCCGTTTATAATGTTACCATAATTATTAAGTTTGTTTAGTCATTGATATTAAAAAAAAAACATGCGTTTTATTAATTAATTTATAGACAACTTTAAAATTGTTAAATTTGAGCAAAAAAATTCGGTAGAAGGAAATTTACGGAAATATATTAAGTCAAAATGTAATGTGTAACACTAAGGTCATGTGAAAAGGAATTTCATTTGTATACTAATAACTTGCAGTAAATTTGGTTATTCTTTTGGCTCTAACGAAGCATTGAACGTTAACCTAATATAACCTAAAACTTAATTTAATTATATCAACCTACAAATTATACCAGTGTTTTAAATTAAAAGATTTTCAAATAAAAAAAAATTAGTGTGCTGAAAAGAGAAAAGTGATACAGAAGCTTTTAAATTTAAATAAAATATGAGTAATCGCCATCATGATAAAATAAAACTTGTATAATAAAGCCAATATGGCCTTGGTCCTGTTCATTAAAGCAAGATACGTAGATTATATATATCAATCAACATACTGCATAAATAATTGATAAATACATTTCTATCAAAAAGATAACTAAGTACAAATCTAACAACTCATCACATAACGACGGATCCAGTACCGAGTATCTTTAAACAATTGCCAAATATTTTGTGAGCTGATAATTATGATACATCTTAAGTATTAGAGTTATATTACAAAGACCCACTAATTATTTGCAGAAAACCTTGCTTTTTATTTAGTGTGAACATTGAAGAATTAGATCTCACAAAATAACAAGTTGAGATTAAATATCATCGTATTTACTAAGCAATTAATTGAACGACACCACCAGCTTTCTTTATTTTTTCTTCCGCTCTTCTAGAAATGTGTCGTGTCTTAACAATCACAGGTTGCTCTGGAAGACGACCTTTTGCCAAAACTTTACCATAGCCCTTAAAAATGAACATCGTAATCAAGAAAATCATAAGTAAATTAAATAAATATATATATAAAATATATGTAAATATGCATAATATATATTAAATACACTTACAGCATTTAGGATATTAATAACTGGTGCAACTTTGGTTTCTTTCTCATATTTTTTTCTTGTTTCTTCAGGAACCAAAGTCCACAACTTATCCAGATTGATAACTGGACGATGATATTTATTACGTGTCAGATGAAAATGTCTCATACCAACTTTACCGAAATAACCAGGATGGTATTTGTCCATGTTAGTCCGGTGATGATGCAGACCACCTGCAAGACCTCGACCTCCCGGATGCTTTCTGTGTTTACCTTTTTGTTGGATCGGATTTTTGTAATAAAAGATCATTATTGATGATGATGATGATGATGATATAAAATAGAATAGATCACAAATAAGCAATTTACCGATACGGCCATGACCAGCGGAAACATGTCCACGCTTCTTTCTGTTCTTTTTAAGTCTTGAAGGCTATTAAATGAAAAATTAATATCAATTGTATCGATTACTAGTCAATTTCATCATTATTTATTATGAAATTAATTATCATATTTTTAAATAATTAACTAAAATCATATCAAGTTAAAAATCAAAAGTAATGGCTGTTGAAAGGCAATGATTTCATTTATTTCTTTAAGAAATATCACGTTTGAACGGCACAGATAAAGCTTACCATCACTTCTTTCTGCAAACGGGAATGAAATGTAAGGGAGGAACAAATAAATTTTGTTAAGAAATGAATTTATAAAAATTTTTTATAATATGCGCGTGATTATCACGTTACAGTGATTTGATTTTGAACAGGTCAGGTTGGCCAAATTTGTTGTCCGGCCCAAATTATACACTTAATTTTGCCCGAAGTAGTATTGTTACACCGCATTAAAAATTGCAAAAATATCGATTTCCCGATTTACACACCCAGTACACGTATATAGATGATGCAATAGATGACGCAAGTCAAATTGGCGTCAGTTTATCATTGAAAAAAAAATTAGACAAACGCTGTCATTGTCACTGATGGAAGATATTGTGAAAAATGAGGTTGGGTTCACTTTATATAGCAATACTGCTTTAGCTTGGCGCCGATGGTTTGTCCGAGAGCGCGCAAGCAGTAGACAGAATTTGATCAATTCGTTCAAATTACAATTTGTGCTAGGAGTCCGTTTCCGAAGAGAAGAACGAATTACTTCAAGAATTAAGCGAAGGGGACCTATACACGAAACTTAAAAAACTCCAACGACACCTTGAATTTCTTGAACTGCAAGAAGAGTATATAAAGGACGAGCAAAAAAACCTGAAACGTGAATTGATCAGAGCTCAAGAAGAAGTCAAACGAATTCAGTCTGTACCTTTGGTAATCGGACAATTTTTGGAACCTATTGATCAGCATACTGGAATTGTAGGATCTACAACCGGATCAAATTATGTGGTCCGAATTCTAAGCACCATTGACCGAGAATTACTTAAGCCATCATCGTCCGTTGCACTTCATCGTCATTCTAATTCATTAGTTGATGTATTACCTCCCGAAGCAGATAGTAGCATCGCTATGCTTGGGGCAGACGAGAAGCCAGATGTAACATACGCAGATGTGGGGGGACTAGATATTCAAAAACAAGAAATTCGAGAAGCAGTAGAACTACCATTAACACATTTCGATTTATACAAACAAATTGGAATTGATCCTCCACGTGGTGTCTTGCTGTATGGACCTCCAGGAACTGGCAAGACAATGCTTGTTAAAGCAGTTGCACATCACACAACAGCGTCTTTCATCCGTGTAGTAGGATCAGAATTTGTTCAGAAATATTTAGGAGAGGGACCACGTATGGTTAGAGATGTGTTTCGATTGGCTCGTGAAAATTCACCGGCTATCATCTTTATCGATGAGATAGATGCAATTGCCACGAAGAGATTCGATGCACAAACGGGTGCAGATCGTGAAGTACAGAGAATTTTGCTAGAATTATTGAATCAAATGGATGGGTTTGATCAAACATCAAACGTGAAGGTATATATATTTTTTATTTGATTCATCATAGCTATATAACCGAATATAATACATGATTTCATTTATAGGTTATCATGGCTACAAATCGAGCGGATACTTTGGATCCAGCGTTGCTTAGACCCGGTCGTCTTGATCGAAAAATAGAATTCCCCACCCCAGATCGTCGTCAGAAACGCTTAATTTTCTCTACCATTACCTCTAACATGAACCTTTCAGAAGAAGTTGATCTTGAAGATTGTATGTATCAATTACATTATTAACTAATTATTAATTTAACCACTATTATTGGCATGAGAGAAAATCTGTAAATATATATGATTTTTAATTTTCATCTTACCGGATTCGGCCATTGAAGAACCTAATTACATCATGACGTGACTGCTGTAGTCTGATCGTCTTAGCAACACCATTTACATACCAGAATTACTAGCATTATGTGTTTCAATTACGTATTATCATAATGCAATCAGGATTAGGTTCTGGCAGATGAAAATTGAAAACCAAGTTTGCAGATTTTTTCCTTGGTAGCATTTGTACATCATTTGATATATCATTAGATATTATCAAAATGTAACTAATACATATGTAACGATATATGATATACTTAATATAGTTGTATCTCGCCCAGACAAACTAAGTGGAGCAGAAATTCATGCTATTTGTCAAGAAGCAGGAATGCAAGCAGTTCGAAAAAATCGATATGTCATTTTGAGTAAAGATATTGAAAAAGGTTATAAAGCGAATGTTAAGAAAGCTGATACGGACTTTGAGTTTTACAAATAAGGGTTTTTTAAGGGTAGAGTACATGTAGATCATTTGTTATATGATTTGTGCAGTAAATTTACATAACGAATAAAAATATAGTACTAATTAAATTTTTTAAAATTATAAATTTTTTATTAAATTTTTAAGATATATAGATTAAAGTAGTTTATTTATTATAATAAAATTTTATAATATATATTATTTTTAAAAAACTATATTTGTATATATCATAAAAATTTTGATAATAAATTCAAATTTTTGGTAGTTTATAATAAATTTAGTAAACTAATATTTTTATATTTTTTTTGATATTTTTTTACTTTTGTAAATTATATATTTTTAAAACTTTGATTGGAACTAACTTAGTAATTAGTTGAAAATTTATAATTCAAATAAAAAAAAGTTTATTGAATTTTATTAAAAAGTTGTTAAGATATTTTTGATTAAAATTATATACAAATTTATTATTATTAATATTTGATAAAAGGGATGTGGTGACTTAGTGAAGTGGATAAGTTGTTAACCTTTCAAATAGTAGGTAGTGAGTTCAAATTTCACTAATGATGAAAATTTGAATAATCACCTATGTAATACTTATATTATAACAATTGTTTCTAATGATTGGGTTAAGATACCTGTAATTATAATCACACTAGCATGACTGGCAGGTTATAGGATATCTGGTTAACTGGTTATATAGAGAAATGCAAATCAGCATCAAGTGTTGCAAACACAAAATAAGTCCTTGTGATTGTATAAATCTGTAGAAATTGAGGAACAAGAAACCTATTTGGAAAGACCTAAGTAAAGAGATAATACAGATTTTTAACAATACTACTGTAAAGGTTAGATCTAGAAAACAGATACCAATGTAAAGTATTTGAACAGGTAAAAACCTCTAGATAGGAGGTATTACCAACCAAGTTGCTAGAATTCTAATTAAGAGAACCAAAAAAAAAACTATCAGGCTAACTTAATATACTAATAGACTGATTATAATCCTATTGAGTTATTTGGATTAGAAGTTTGAAAAAAAATCAAAGGTATACTAAAAATACTAGGAATATGTTATAAAGTAAGTGCTAGAGTTTAGAAGAACTTTGCAAGAGCAAGTTTTGTTAATGGTCCTAAAGTAAGTAGGTTAGTTAACAAGAGAGCTTTCTGAGCTCTACAATTAGATAATATGCTCTGAAATTGAGTAACAGCTCAACAAATATACAGAAAGGAGGCATAATGTTGGGTTA